TAAAACGTATGCAAATTTATCTAGAGGCATCCTAATCTCTTAAACCAAAAAAAAAAAAAAAAAAAAGACTTGAAGTTAATCATGGGATGAAAATGATGTCTTTCGGCTCATTAATCACCTTTAAAATCATACCCATGAATGAATGGATAAGTTGATAAAGAACTCTTTTAGTTTAATTAAATGTTTTAGTTTCAAGTTTTGAAAATGTAATTCCGTTAAAATTTGTGAGGGTGAGTTTTGTTATCCATTAAGTCATACTCAATTCAAATTCGGATTAATTGGTAACTCAATGAACTTTTAGATACAAATGGTCCAAAAAAAAGAATCACCTATGAAATCACTACAAGCCAGAGGCAAAAATGTATGCCCATTTTGTGATGATTAATTTTGGCTATTTCTTTCGTGAAAATAGCATCTATGTTAATGTAAACAAGATTATGATGCATATCATCACCAACATCATTGATATGCGCAAATTTGATCTCGTCGAAATCAACCGTCGGAATCTTTGTGCGTGAAAAAGATCTAGCACTAACACGTGGTGGTTGTTTTTGGCGTATACATCATGACATTCAAATTAACAATATCGTGATAAAAACATTAGGAGTGAAAAGAAGAGAGGGGAAGAAGAATGAGAATTACACAAAAGCAAGCCTGAAAATACACATCGGCTATTCCATCTGATTTTTTAGGTCAATTAACAACCTATCAGCTTGAAGTGCATTCTCTTTCACTCATAAATGAATTTCGAACTCATCTCTTGACAACTTATTAAAAAAAAAAAAACACATGGGCTATTTAGCATAGTTTAAACAAACAATTTAGTAATTGAAGAACCTTTTGCTGATTTTTACCTTTATGTGATATAAGAGGCTAAGTTTTTTTTTTTATATTAAATTTTTTAAAGGATAATAAGTCCCTTTTTATTATTTGAAAAATTAAAATTTTTGTTATATGCTACTTTAGTTTTTTCTTTTAAAAGTTTTTTAACAAAAGCCACAATTTTAACAAAAGTTTAATAGAATAGATTATTCTGAAAATTTTCACGAAAATTACATACTATCTAAAATGAAAATTGATAGTGAATAGA